AGCCACGAAGACCTCACATTCCTAGGAATGACTAAATCTATACAGACCAAGGGTGCTGCCCAGATCCTAATCCAGGGAAATAAGACCTTGATGGCTCCAACTGGATCCTTGCTTCCTTGGCTGCAGAGCCATTTCATTTCCAGCATCAGTCGCGTGGCAGAGCACTCACTGGAGGTCCATTCTGGAACTCCCACTACAGAACAGAAGGGATGGGCTCTCTTTCACTCAGAATGCCTGGGCCGGGCAGGGGTTAGAGACGTAGCTTTCAGGGCTGAGCTGTAGAGCAAGGATTCCACTTTAAACATGAAGACAAGTTAGCTGGAGAAAACAGCAAATGCAGTCAAAAGACTTCTTTGTCTTCCTTCCAACTTCCCTGAAGAAATCCTCGTATGTATTTAAAATCCTCTGTTGTGTTTTGTGTTTACACAAGCTTTCACAACTATCATCTCATCTAAACTTTACAAACCCCTCCTGAGGCAGGCATGTAGCTGCACATATGGGCTGTAGCCCATGGAGCCCACGGCCATGCTGGCGCCCGGCCCAGCTCTCAGTCCCTGTGGTCCAGCACATGGGGCCGGTTCAGAGGCAGGGGAAAGGAATGAGGCTCCTCAGTCTGCCCGCTGGATTGCAGTTCAGCAGCAGCTTGGGCATATTCTCTGATGTTTAATTAATAATCCAATAATTAACTTTGAGGAAGCCATCTGCTGGTTTGCATGTGTGTGTAATCCAGGTGGAACCAGTCTCTGCAGGTGCACTTTGAGAGAAAGGGGCAGGCCAGGTCTTGCTTTGACCTACCCCTGACCTGCATGGACAGAAGCAGAATTTCTCAACTGATTGCTTTTCCTCCAGCTCCCAGAAGGGAGAAAAGGTGTCATCTCACATTTCAAACGCGTTCATGAAGACTTAGCTGGTGACTGAGGCAAAAGGCTTCTGGGGCTGAGCTCAAGTCACTGCCTCTGGCAGAACTTTCCAGCCTCTTACTCAGCTCTGCTTGCTGGATGCAGGATTGAGATACTTCCCACTCAGGTGCAACTTCCCCGCCTTTCTAGACAACCCCCTGTCCCCCTCAACCTGCCCCCCACCTTGCTCAAGTATGGAGATTATTCACAGGAGAACGACTTCTCCTTCTGAACTAAAAACACCCACCAAGCAGTCATGGTTTTTCCAGCATGGGGCGCAGGCCCCCAGGCTCAGACGGACAGGAGTCTGGCTTCTTGTCCTGGGTGCTTGGGTAGGAAGACCCTAGCAAGGAGGAGCATGGCGGAGGGATCATCCTGGGCCAGGCGCCAAGTTGCCACACCCCTGGAACCTGTCAAGCTGGCCCTGCCAGGCTGAGGGTCTTCAGGGAGGAGAGGACTCTTGCCCTCAGGCATGTTTTATGCTGCCCTTTCTGAGGGACCGATTTGCCCCTTGCTTTTCTTATCCCCCTTATCCTCTATCTCTACTTCGAAATAGACCCAGTGCTGAGTATAGGGGACATTCCATTTCCCCAGCCCATTATGTCTATGTAATAGGATGTTGAATGGGATGCATGTTGTGCTGGAATTGATGACTGGGGCCCAAATCTGGGACACTAGGTCCTAAAGAGAGCAACCCATGGTTGGGGCCAGACTTCTCTCCTGGTGTTTCACAAGAGAGCCTAGAACTGGCCTAACCTTCAGCAACCATCACCCCAGGCCTTCCATCCCTTCCTCCCCTGGGCAACAGAAATGACTGGGTGGTGGCACTCAGAGAATCTTAGCATGGACTTTGCGGGAGGGCCTATTTGGGATGAGGCGTTCCTTCCTTCTGCCTTAGGGGAAGGAGTTGGGGATGCAGACTCAGGAGAATCCAGTACTTTGTGTGTATGTGGAGGGGAGCTGACGTTCTGTCCTCCTGTTGCATGTCTGCCCGTACTGCAGACTGTGGCCCTGCCCCTCAGCCTGTCAGAACAGGAGCTGAAGAGAACGGGAGAGCACGCAGGACAGAGCCAGAGCTCTCATGATGCAAGGGAGCTGCTTTGAGTTCTCCAGCCAGTCCTCTCCCGAGAGGCGAGCTCTGGGCACTAGCTAAAATCTGAATGGCATCACGAATGTGGCGAGGCTGGACAAGGGACCTGTGAGAAGAGCAGAGACACACAAGCTGCTACTTCTTTTTTTGAGACAGGGTCTCACTCTGTCACCCAGCCTGGAGTGCAGTGGTGCAATCTTGGCTCACGGCAACCTCCGCCTCCTGGGTTCAAGTGATTCTCATGCCTCAGCCTCCCGAGTAGCTGGGACTATAGGCATGCACCACCACGCCTGGCTGATTTTTGTAATTTTTAGCAGAGATGGGGTTTCACCATGTTAACCAGGCTGGTCTCGAACTCCTGACCTCAAGTGATCCACCCACCTCTGCCTCCCAAAGTGCTAGGATTACGGGCGTGAGCCACTGCACCCAGCCCCAAGTTGCTACTTCTATGCGGATGCCTGGGAGGCAGCGTGGCATCTGGGAAATATCCCTTGGGGGACTATTTAGTATTTTATTCTGGGGCTTTCCATCTCATCCTCTTCCCCTTTCTCTCTGTTTTGGTTTCTTCTTTTTCCTTCTTTCTCTCTCCTTGCTGAGCTTCCGTAGTGTCTCTCTCTTTCTCCAAGAACATCAGGGTTACTCCCTTGGGGTCAAACCTACGCTCTTCCCACCCAGTCTCTGATGAGCAGACTGTGGGCAGACTTAGTTATAGCTTTTTGTCACTCGGTGAGAAAAGGTAGGCACACACCCCTAAATATCCTGAAACAAGCTGCCAGGGCTCAGTCACCAAACCCATTTTCAGTCAGTTATATTTTCATTCTCTGGGTAAAGGGTTTCCTGAAGTTTCTACCTGCTCTAAGTTTCTACCCTTGAGGCTGATTCACTAGTCCAGTAAGATCAAGGAAATGAAAGGCTTTTCATATACCAGCAGGTAAACAAACGCATATGCAAACCAGCCTTCAGAGTGGGAAAATGAAGGCGCGCATGAAAGAGGAATAAGGTTTCTATCATCACAAAGGCGTTCATGGGTAAGGCAGATGTATTTGCTGTTATGCAAAGTCCAGAGTGTTAGAATTTGAAACCTGAAAGACTTAAATTTAGGGGCAAAAAGGGCAAGTAATGTTTAGCTGAGTGTGGTGTAGGGAAAATCACAGATCTTGCAAGTGCTAGGGGAAGCCCTGGCTGTGAGAAGCCCTAGCGTGAGATTGGGCCGTCAGGTTTCTTCTCTCAGCCTCCGTCTCCTCAGCCCTCAGCGGGGCCCCCTCCCTGCCTGCCTCACGGGGCTGCTGTGAGGAGCAGAGCAGAGGGCTCCTGATGGCACTCTCTATAGTATTAGTCTTTCTGTTGCTGAGAGTCACTGTTATTACTGAGGAACAGTAGGCCTGTAACAAGACACGATAGGAAGTGGAACACAAGCAGAGACAGGAAGTTGGGACCTATCCTGAATTTCGAGATTAGGATCCTGGGAAACAATCCTGCATTCCCCAGACAGGTCCTTTGGTACCATTTGCTCAAGGGCAAGCCTAGACTGGCAGAGTCTTTGTTCCGAACCCCGAGGACTGTTCTGACATTTATTGACTTTCAGGAGATTGCTCATTTGTGGTTTGCGAAGGACAGGCAAGCAGTCATGTACATGCATAAATGAAGCTTACGGAGTGGGAAACTGATGGGGACACAAGGGGTCCCCGGACTCAACAGTCCCATGTGGCTGAATTGAGATCCCTGAGTATTTCTCGAGGCCCCTTCTTGATCTGTGGATGTGTGTGTGATACAGGAGGTGGAAGAGGAGCTGGGATCCTCCCTTTTGGTTTTGAGCATGTGCCGTTGGCCTCAACCTTTGGTCCTAGATCCTGGGCGCACCCATTGTTCTCAGCCATTCAGCAGCCATGCCCCGTGGACTCTGGATCTTAGATTTTCCCCTAAACTCTTGATTTTTCTGCCTTTTTATTGTGTTTATGGATAACATTTGCTCACTGGTCCAGAATCATTGCACATGGTGACTCCTAGCTTAGGAAGCCTCCCTCTCCCCACCCACCCAACCCAGCTGAGAACAGTAATCACTCCTGTAGTCGTTTGCCATCACTGGAAGACTCTGTTCATGCCTGAGTTTAGATTAATTGCCAGATCTACATAAGAGCGTTCACAGTGTGAGTTGCTACTGGTTTTGTTTAAGATCATTTTAGTATGTCCACAAAGTTATGGTTTTTTTAGTAAAGGGTTTCCATTTGAGTGTTTATAAGTGCCTTTGTTATTTGTGAATTGGAAAAATGAGCAAGGAATCTGTTGATGTGTTATTCGCCTCTGATTCCAAACAATTGTCCAATAATGCTGTAGAATCCTGGGGTATCAGCAGAGATCACTGGTATCAGTGCTCAGTCAGGAAAACAGAAATAACTCCAGTCATTTTAAACAGGGAATCTCATCGACAGGGCTGATTGCAGAGGTGTTAGAAGGGCTGAAGGAGCAAAGAGCACCCAGTAAGGTTGACCATAGGTTAGTAACTGCCGGAAGCTGCTGTCCCTGCTAGGACTGGAGGATGAAGAGGGCTCATGACCATGAGCCCCAGGAGGTGAAACCCAGAATCTTACACTCACTTAGAAGCATCATCTAGTGCTTCTGCCCGCATTCCATGGGCTGGAACTCAGTCACACAGCCACCTCTAGCTGCAAAGAGGCTGGGAGTCTACCTGACTCCCTGGCTACTTGAATGATGACTAGAGGGAAAGGACTAGGTTTGTGAACAATGAGTCTCTGCTACATATGGGTACGGGAATCACTGTTGTTATGAGAGAACAGTGACCCTTTTGTAGAGGTATGCTTCAGGATATGTGTGTGTGTGTGTGTGTGTGTGTGTGTGCATGTGTGTATACACACACACTTGCCCTGGCACAATAAAACAGGATTGTTTTTAAGCTGAGTTCTCCGACCTCCCTCCTCCTGTTCCACTCTCACTCCCTCCCCATGCTATCCCTGGCCCTCCCCTCAGCTGATTTCTGTGTGTTCTGTTTGCAGGAGGCCCTGGCCCAGCCCCAGCCCTGGTGGAAGAGCCAGCTGTTCGTGTGGGAGCCTGTGCTGTTTGGGACCTGGGATGGTGTGTTCACATCCTGCATGATCAACATCTTTGGGGTTGTGCTCTTCCTGAGGACAGGCTGGCTGGTGGTGAGTGCTGAGCTAGTGGCCTGGGGCCTCTCACGGGCCTCAGACAGGAAAGCTCTGCCCCTCTTGGCATTCTACAGTGCAGGCCACAGATTCCTGAAGCACAGATACTCCTGAAACATGAAACAGAAGCAAGCACAGTGAATAGCTAGCATTGCTTGTTAAATGAGCATCCTATGAACATAGGCTTCTGAGGTTGCGATGGAAACCTCACGCTGTAGATTTAACTGTGGAATAGGAGCACAGAAGTCAGTGGTCATCATGGGCGGGACTCCAGATGGGTTGGAGAGATCATTGATGGCAATTTTGCCTCCAGCTTGTGGCCCTCTGTAGTTTTCCTGGTATTCTTCACTTCATGTTGGGCCTGCCCACATGGTTGCCTTCCCCCACTGTACCGCAACCCTGTGGGTAAGACTGTGCATGAGGATGCTTGGTCATAGGTGTGGGCCGCCTACCTCTAGGGATGGATCGCCTAGGGCGCACTCTGCTGTGTGAGATCCTGGGGGTCAGTTCATCTCCCTCTGTAGAAGGAACAAAAGGCCTCTTCTTTAAGTCTTATGCAAAAGCATCCTAGGACCTTCCAAGCAGATGTGTGCCTGAAGCAGGCGTTCTCAGTCCCACACACAGTGCCATCTCATGCAGTGGGACTTCAGTAGACCACACAGGTGTGCAGAACAAAAGGCAAGCCAGTCACCATCTAAACATGGCTGAGCGCCTGCTGTGGGCCAAGCACTCCTTAGTGCCAATGGGATTACAAAAGACAAGACATGGCCTGGGGCCTCATCCCCTCTTCTCCTCCCCGCCCCGCCTCATGAGCTAACAACCATGATGGGTAGATATCACATTAGGAGAATTCTCAAAACAGCATTAAGTCCCTTGGGGTGGAACAGGCTATGAGTGCTGCAGTCACTGAGGTGTCCAGGAAGGCTTCCTGGAGGAGATGTGGTTGAGCCAGGCTTTGAAGGGTGAGCTGGACTAGATGGGCGAAAGAGAGGAGGCCATTCAAGGTGTTGAATCTACTAGTCAGGATTCTCCAGAGAAACAGGCCAATGCCAGCAGGAGATGTGAGTATATCAGGTATATATTAGCAGGTAAGGATTGATGCTGCAGTCTTGAGTCTGAAGGCTGGAAATGCAGGAATAACTTCTGTGTTGCAGCCTGGAGGCAGAATTCATTCTTCTTTAGGAAACCAGTCTTTGCTTGTAAGGCCTTCAACTGATTAGATAAGGCCCACCCATACTATGGAGGGTAATCTCCTTTACTTAATTAAAGTCAACTGATAGTAAATATTAATCACATCTGAAAATCACTTTTACAGCAACATTGAGACTAGTGTTTGACTAAACAGTTAGTTGCCATAGTCTAGCCAAGTTGACATATAAAATTAACCATTACATGGGCAAATTTCGGGAGATATAAACTCCTTTATAGTGGGATGTACAGGATTCTTAGCCCCCATAAGAAGTCTGGGCAAGGTCAGATCTTCCTAAGCTTTCATTCTATGCCACACTCAGATCCTCAGCTCAGGGTTCAGCCTTAACCACAGCCAGGGTGGGTCTCAGATCAGCAGTGGAGCCCCTGAGCATTATATTATGAACACTGGAACAGAGTACAACTGACTTCCAGGGCAATTTTCCAGCTCATGTTAGGTCACCCAGCTCTTGAACTGGCTCTGCTCACTCCTAGTTCTCTCTCCAGCACCTGCAACACGTGGAGTCTTGACTATCAGGAGTCTTCCTTGCTTCCTATTGCAAAATATGGGACATTACAGCTCCTTCTTAGATGTGCTGTGTCCATTTCCTCTCAGGAACTCTTGCTTTTCACACTGAAATGTGTCTATCTACATGTGTTCATCTCCAGGCGTGCATGTGTTTGTTTATTCGCTCAACAAGCATTTAATGAACACCTATTTTGTGGAGGTTATGCTAAGCACTGAGAATATGAAGGGGAAGAAAACATGATCCTGCTCCGTATTAGTCCGTGTTGCATTGCTATAAAGGAATACCTGAGGCTAATTTATAAAGAAAAGAGGTTTATTTAGCTCACAGTTCTGCAGACTGTACAAGAAGCATGGCACCAGCACCTGCATCTGGTGAGGCCTCAGAAAGCTTTCACTCATGGGGGAAGGTGATGAGGGAGCAGGCGTGCCACATAGCCAGACAGAAGGCAAGAGAGGTGCCAGCCTCTTTTAAGCAACCAGCTCTCCTGCGAGCGAACAGAGTGAGAACTCCCCCATTACCGTGGGAGGACACCAAGCCGTTCACAAGGGGTCCACCCCCATGACCCAAACACCTCCCACCAGGCCCTACCTCCAACAATGGGGATCACATTTCGACCTGAGATTGGAGGGGATCCAAATCCAAACATCTAAACCATGCCATCCTCGCCTGGAGCTCACAGTCTAGACGGCAAAACCGGCTTGGAAACAGACTCAGTTTGGCAAGTCCTGTGAAAAGCACTAAGCCCCGGCACTGGAGGAGCCCAGAGAAAAGGTTACAGGGCCAGCTTCCTGGTGAGAAATCCTAAACACAGGCCTAAAGGATATGCTGCAGTTAACCTGACAAAGATAGAGAATGAGCAGGAGAGCGCTTCCAGGCAGGGAGTCAGCATAGGGAAGGGTGGGAGTGGGGAGAGAACTTGCCGCTGCATGTTAGGCACAAAGCGAGATTAGGAGGTACCTTGTGGGGGCATCGGCAGCTCTGACTGTACTCTACAGTGCGAGTAGAGTGCGAGAGTCATTGAAGAATTTGCAGCCAGGACGCTTCCCTTCAGTTAGAACTGCTTCCTAGCCTTGGCTCTTGTGGTGCTTGCTTTGTCCTTTTTAGTTGTCCTGACTCTGTGCCCCCACCCCCGGCTCCATTTCAATGCTGTGGGAGGAGGGGAGGTGGTCAGTGCTCCCAGCAGGGAGCTGGCGGGGCCTTCTCGCCTAACCTAGTCTCGCTCCTTGCTATTCTGCTGCAGGGAAACACGGGAGTGCTCCTGGGCATGTTCCTGGTGTCCTTCGTCGTCCTGGTGGCCCTCATCACGGTGCTGTCTGGCATTGGTGTCGGGGAGCGCAGCAGCATCGGCAGCGGTGGCGTCTACTCCATGATCTCCTCGGTCCTGGGTGGGCAGACGGGAGGCACCATCGGGCTGCTCTATGTGTTTGGCCAGGTGAGACCCGCGCCCGGGACACTTCCCCTGCCTGGCCCTCTGCCGCTTTCTTGTCCATTTCCTCACTTGACCTGGTGAGAGGCGAGGGTGGGGACGATTGCCCCATGTGACAGACGAGCAGGCTGGGGCTCTGAGGGGAACTCAGCAGAGAGCCAAGTCACCATCTGGGGCCTGATCCGTTAGTCCAGCACTCCTTTTCCTCTGCCACTCCGGCCTCTGGGATGCCTGATGTGACTGCGGGGCAGGGCCTGGCCAGCACATTCTCGCTGTTCAATCTGGGGACCAGCATGTATGACAGTGGCTGAAGCCCGGGTGGCAGCCAGGTGGCCTGGGCCCTGGGGTGCTTTTTTACTGAAAGCAGGTATTTTGCCTGTGCCAAAGGGCTTTGCTAGAAGCAGGCACTTCTCAAATGAGCTGGAGCTCCCCGACAGCATTTGATAGCTTGGGTGGCCTTTACAGGGAGGCCGGCAGCCCCTTGTGTGGACGCCCGGTCTGAGAGGAAGAATGTTAATGAGGAGCCTGCTTCATCAGAATGGACGAAGGCACTCCGAAAACAAGCGAGTAGGGGGAAATCCTAAGGCTTTTTTAGCTAAAACACAGGCATGGTGACTTAATGCTGAGGGAACAAAGTACAGACATTAAGAAGCAGTTCTTTGTCAGCATTTCTTGGATTGAAAAAGGCTTTTATGAGAGTGCAAATGGTGGTGGGTGGTTGAAAAAACAGTTTAAAGAGAAGAATTTGTCGAAGTAAGAGTGTGCAAGAATCTCCCCAGAGAAAGCATCGGTTTTGTTTCTTTTATTTTTAGGCAGCAGGAGCAGGGTGCTTCAGCATAAATACATCTGATTCTCGAACGGCACAGAGCCGCGTGTGTGCATGTGTGGGTGGTGGGGGTGCGTGTGTGTCTAGGACAGTGCAGGGAAGGCAAATGGATGGCCTCTGCACTCTTAAAAAGCACTTGCCTTGACTGCAGAAAGTTCTTTAAGTATAGTAGTTGGAAAGGGGAGTAACAAATGGTCAGTTTACTTTATTACTCTGGGGATTTGGGGTGTGTGTGTGTGTGTGTGTGTGTGTGTGTGTGTGTGTATTTTTTTTTTACTTCTCTGCTATTTTATAGCCAACCAGGCTGCAAGGTAGGCAAAGTCCTGCTTTCCCCCTCTCGGTGCAGACACCAAGTGAGCCTCTAGAAGCAGATGCCATGGGTGGACACCGGCGTGAACACCCCTGGACAAAGAGAGGGAGCTGGGCTGTTAAGAGTCCTCCTTATGTGGGCTGATTTGGAAAAAAGATGTTCACAAATAAGATGTTTTCTAAGCACTGGCAGCCACAGCCTGAGACACCATTGCACCAGCATCCCAGCTGTTTTGCCGCCTTTCCACTTGGGCCTTGGTCCCAAACATTAGAGTCCCCCTGGTCACTGTCTCTGGAGTGCCTGTGCTTTTAGCTGACGCAGGCCGGGAGTCCCTGATCAGGGTGTGGTTACTGTGTAATCCTTTTTATAAATTGCCGAGTTTGGTTTGTTAACATTTTGTGGAGGATTTTCGTGTATATATTCATGAGGGATACTGGTCTGTAGTTTCCTTGTGATTCTTTGTCTGGTTTTGGTGTCAGGCTAATTCTGGCCTCACAGAGTGAGTTGGAAGGTGTTGCCTCCTTCTCTATTTTTTGGAGGAGTTTGTGAAGGGTTGGTGTTAATTCTTTAAACATATGGTAGAATTTTGCCATGAAGCCATCTGGTCCTGGGTTTTTTTTTGATAGAAACTTTTTTGGTTACTAATGGAATCTCTTTACTTATATAGGCATATTCTGATTTTCTACTTCTTCTTGACTCAGTTTTGATAGTTTGTATCTTTCTAGGATTTTGTCTATTTCTTTTCTTTCTTCTTCTTCTTTTTTTTAATCTGGGAGTTTTTTTGTTTTGTTTTTTTGAGACAGAGTTTTGCTCTTGCCTCCCAGGCTGGAGTGCAATGGTGTGATCTCAGCTCACCACAATCTCTGCCTCCCGGGTTCAAGCAATTCTCCTGCCTCAGCCTCCCGAGTAGCTGGGATTACAGGCATGAGCCACCATGCCCGGCTAATTTTGTATTTTCAGTAGAGACGGGGTTTCTCCATGTTGGTCAGGCTGGTCTTGAACTCCCGATCTGAGGTAATCCACCCGCCTCAACCTCCCAAAGTGCTGGGATTACAGGCATAAGCCACCACACCTGGCCATGAATTTGTTCACTTCATATAGGTTATCTAATGCACTGGCATATTAATTGTCTACGGATTTTCTTATAATCCTTTTTATTTTTGTAAGATTGGTGGTAATGTCTCCCCTTTCATTCCTACTTTAAATAATCGTCTGTTTCTTTTTTCTTGATCAGTCTAGATAAAGGTGTGTCTACCAAGAACTAATTATTGGTTTGCTGATTTTCTCTATTGTTTTTCTGGTCCCTCATTCATTTCTACCCCCAGACTCATTTTGAGAAGATGGTTTAATTTTGGGCTGTTATTGCTTTCCTTAAAGTAAGTCTCTTTGGTTTCAAGCATCCTTATTTACAACTTATATTGCAAATTTCCAGTGATGGTGCCATCATCTATTTAGCATCAACAAAGTATCTTATGATATTCACAGCTAGCTGCTGCTTCCTCTTCTTCAGCTGTGAATAATAACAAAGTCGTAATGATAATGATGGTAGCTATTATTATTATTATTTTCTGCCCAGGCTGGAGTGCAGTGGCGTGATCTCGGCTTTCTGCAACCTCTGTCTCCTGGGTTCAAGTGATTTTCCTGCCTCAGCCTCCCAAGTAGCTGGGACTACAGGTGCGCACCACTGCGCCCGGCTTATTTTTAGTTTTAGTAGAGATGGAGTTTCACCACATTGCCCAGGCTAGTCTCAAACTTCTGGCCTTAGGTGATCTGCTCACCTTGGTCTCCCAAAGTGCTGGGATTACAGGTGGTAGCTATTGTTTCTACAACTCTATCAGTCAGATATTGTTCTAGGACTTTACATAAATCATCTCATTTAGTTCTTACAGTAACCTTCTGAAGGTTACTATCATTATCTGTGTTTCATGGAGAGGTTAAAACGCTTTCCCAAGTCAGCTAGGATTTGGCCTTAGATATTTTGGCTTCGCAGTTCATGCTCCTAACCACCATGCCCTTACAAGCCTCCTGAGGAGCTTCCCCTGCCCCCTACCCTGCCCCATCCCCTGTTGCTGGCATCTTTGGGCTAAAAAGCAATTTTAGATACAAGCCAGAAAGATGAGATCCACTGGAGTTACTGGGAACAAAAGGCAGCATTTACAGCTTGGCTCACTTTGCATGAGCAAATTGTTCTACTGCTAGGAAAAAAAAAATCAGTTTGGAAGCTTCAGATGCAAATGGTCCCATGGCATCATCCTCTGCATGTCAGAGACATCAGGTACCTGGGAAAATGGTGCCCATATTAATGGTATTCATTGCTACATTTTTGTCATTTCTTTTCTTTCTTTTGCTCAGATAATTTTGACCATGAAGAGTCCTGTTGACCTGGCCAAATACTATGAAATAACCTCACTATCACACATCACACTCTTGGTGTTTAGTAAAGAGGAAGTTTGAGTTCTGAGATGAATGCAGGAAAACATTAGTCTCTCTCTCTCTCTTTCTCTTTCTCTCTCTCTCAGAAATGATTGTAATTCCTTCACATTTCTTGGGCTTTCCACCTCACCCTAATATGGATAGAAATGTTTGTCATTATGGGATGCTGGAATAACTGTTAAGCTAAGTGTGTAAATTTGGGGGATGCTGACAAACAGGACATGTGCCTAGTTGCAAAGTGAGCTGATCTCACTGAAGAATGGGGCTTTGTTCACAAGTTCCTCTCAAATCCAGAAGTTGTATTACTCTCTTGCCTTTACATGAAAGTGCTGGAACTCATGGAGCCTGCTTCCCAGAGCACCTTTTATATGATCAGCATATCACAAAATATTTATCGAATGCTTGCAACATACTTAGCAAATGCAAGTACTTGAAGAGGTACAATCAGCATAAACAATTTTTTAAGATATTTGCATTCTTGGTGGTGGGGTGAGCAGACAAACTTATGTGCATGACATGGTAATAGAATATGGAACCAGATAATTAATTGTATGGCCCTAGCAGTTTGCTTACTATTTATTCAGAAAAGGAGGTTGAGGAATTCATGGAAAAGGAGGGACTTGAATGCATGAGGCCCCAATAGAATTTGTTCCCAGAGAATGGCAAGGGCAGGGCTACAGTGATAAGAGTGACCAGCTGGCCCTGGGGGCAGTGAAGGACAAACCCGAGGAGAGAAGGAGGCTGAGGCTGAGGAATTAGGAAAAGTGAGACTGATGTTATTTTCAACAATTTAATTTGAAATGATCTTTCAAATATTTCCTAAAAGATAAAATCATGACACTCAGGCAAATATAAGAAAAACATGTGCCAAGGATTTCATTTCATTTTTATTTTTTTAAAAAGATTATATAACAAATATTCATAGGAAGCCTCACCTGGACCAGGGATTTTATTTATGAATTAATAGAGGAGCCAATAAGATGTTAAAGAGCAGTTGTGAAGGATGCTGGGTGGATAGAGGTCAAATTTGTAAATTCATAGTTAGGCAGTTGAATAAATAAATGTTAGGATAAGATTGATGGGTTAGATAGAAAACCAGCTAATGTCTTACAGGACAACAAATCCTTATCTTTTGGGTTATATGTTCCACTGGACAGAAGTTATTTGCATCTGTACTGGAAAAAATCCATAAGGTAACATGTAACTTTATTAAATCTGGGGCATATAATGCATTTAATCAACAGCAAATAGCAAGTACAATGAAGTACATTCACCTAGATAGTCCTTGGGTAGCCTTTGTCACATATGACATTGAAAAAGATGTGCCACTCACTTTTTTTTTCTATTGCTAAGTTTTAGATAATTTTAAAAATAATACTGACCTACAAAGAAATGAAGAAAAATCTGGTTTACTGCAGTGCCCTTTTAAGGCTCTGTAGATGGGACCTCCTGTGTGTTCTTGTTCTATATTTAGTACTTGAATAACTCGGACCGAGAAATCTGGAGGCCTCTTTGGCCCAGTGTCCCATCTTCTTCCTCCCATAGTCTTTTCATCTTTGTTACCACTGACAGCCGGCTCTCAGCTTGGGTTCCTCCTTCATTCTTTAGTTGAGATGTAGACAAGCAGAAATGGGGCCTGAGGCAAGTTCACAGGTGGGAAGGGCTGCTTTAACCCTGTGCTGGTCCCAGACGCTGAGCCTCGGTGCCAGTGAGCGCATCCGATGGGGGTGCAGGGTTCTCAGCGCTGAGTGGTTCTGCCTGTGGGCCCATGCCTTTCTGTCCTGCTGACTCTTCTACCTGGAATCGCGTGTCAGTGTGTTGCAGGTGCCATGTACATCACCGGCTTTGCTGAATCCATCTCGGATTTGCTGGACCTCAGGAATATCTGGGCTGTGCGAGGAATTTCAGTTGCGGTGCTTCTGGCCTTGCTGGGCATTAACCTCGCGGGTGTCAAATGGATAATCCGCCTCCAGCTGCTGTTGCTGTTCCTGCTGGCCGTGTCCACACTGGACTTTGTGGTGGGTTCTTTCACCCACCTGGACCCAGGTAAGCCTTTCAGAGTCCAGTATGTGGCCTTATAGATCTTCACTGCTTTATAGATGTTTGTAGGGTGAATTTGCCAACCCCATCTCCCCCTAACCCCCATAGGCTTTACCTACAATTGCTGTGGGCTGTTCCTGGATCGGGTGAGCGGGTGTGTCTTAGAGCAGCTTCATGAGGTTGGAAGCTCCTCTTCACACAGACGTCGCCTAGCACATTTTCTATGTGTCCTTTTATTTTCTTGCTATTAAAAAAACCAGGCCAGGCACGGTGGCTCACGCCTGTAATCCCAGCACTTTGGGAGGCCGAGGCAGGTGGATCACCTGAAGTCAGGAGTTTGAGACCAGCCTGACCAACGTGGTGAAACCCCGTCTCTACTACATAAAAAAATATATATATTATTTAGCGAGATCTGTTTGATGCTAAAGCTGTTCCCCGAGGTGAGAAGCGGGGCCTGTTTTTGCACGACGACACGGTGTCTTTCTGTGACAGCAACTCTGCTTTTCCCTTCGGAGGCCACCCCGATGTGCCTCTACACAGTCCTGTCTTTTAGAAAAACGTTGGTTGTGGGCAGGTCAGCATTTGGTTGGCATCCACTCATCTGGCCTTATTACTTCTGAGCATGTTAAAATCTTCTGTTGGAAAATTGTCACTCCTCTGAACTCCCTGAGTATCCCCTACCCTCTGGCATCCTAGTCCCTCCCCAGGAACCTTCAGACGGCCCAATGATCCGGCACCTAAAGGGTTAACCCTGGGGCCCACTCTTTGCTCGGGGCCAACGTGATGTCCATGCTGATCACCTGGAGCCCAGGCCTTGCAGCTTGCTAAATATTTGACGCATCTCCAGGAAGGAAACGGTGATTTTTTTTTTTTTTCCTGGCCGTGTACCACCCTGCAGAGATGGCCCATATATGGAGGGAGATTGCTGGCCTTTGGCCCATCAGACTGTCAGTGAAGGAAAGACAGAGTCCACTCAGGGTCCCTGATTCCTGGTACTTCCCCCTCCAGTGACACAGTTGCTGGAAGAGCTTAATTAGTTAAATTGCAAGGCGATACTACTGGCTTCTTTGAAACCTCACACTAGCCTGATGTATTTTCCTTCTTCTTGATTAGAAGTTTTCTTGGCTGCTCTTCTAAGTTACTCCAAATATTTTTCCTTCCTTCTGGTCAATACATTAGTAGAGTGTAGTGTGAAATGAAATTTATTTTCAGTCATTCCCATAGCAACTGGCCCCTCAAGAATCTGTTTTTGGTATCACTGATGTTTCATATGGGATATTTTCTTTGTGGTTAAAAATCCAAACTGAAACCAAACTATAAACCTTCAGAATGAATTTAGCAGAGTGATTTCAACTCTTAAAAAATGAGGACATATACATAGACATTTGAAAAAAAGACTGGAAGGAACTATGCCTAATAGTGACTATCTTTCTGTTGAGATTCTATGTGGCTAAATTATTTTATTTCTACTTTTCCTTCCATTGACCAACGTTACTATTTTTTTTTTAATTAATAGATTTACTTTTAGAGCAGTTTTAGGTTTATGGAAAATTAAGCAAATAGTACAAAAGTTCCCACATACCCCTTTTCTCCCTCCCCCACCACAGTTTCCCCTATTATTAATATCTTGTATTAATGTGGTACATTGACGGGAAGTGATGAACCAATATTGATATGTTATTGCTAATAGTTTAGGGTTCATTCATCGTTACACAGTCTATGGATTTTGACAATGTACAATGTTATGTATGCAACATTACAGCATCATACAGATGAGTTTCACTGCCTTAAAAATTCCCTGTGCCTTGCCTCTTAATGCTTCCCAACTTCTGGCAACCACTGATCTTTTTACTGTTTCCATAGTTTTGCCTTTTCCAGAATGTTGTATAGTTGGAACCATACAGTATGTAGCATTTTCAGTTTGGCTTCTTTCACTAGTAATATGCACTTAAGATTCCTCCATGTCTTTTTCTGGCTTGATAACTCATTTCCTTTTATTGCTGAATAAAAAGAAACTGGATGTAGCACAGTTTATCCATTCACCCACGAAGGACATCTTGGTTACCTCCAGTTTTTGGCAATTATGAATAAAACTGATATAAACATCCATGTTCAGGTTTTTGTGAGGATACATTTTTAATTCATTTGGATAAATACCTAGATGCACCATTGTTGGAGCATATGGTAAGACTATGTTTGCAAGAAACTGCCAAACTGTCTTCTAAAGTGGCTGTACCATTTTGCATTCTCACTAACAATGAATGAGAGTTCCTGTTGCTCCACATCCTCATCAGCATTTGGTATTGTCAGTTTTTTTTTTTTTTTTTTTCAGTAATTCTAGTAGATGCCCAGTAATATCGCATCATTGTTTTAATTTGCAATTCCCTAATGACATATGATATTGAGCGTGTTTTTTATGCTTGTTTGCCATCTGTATATTACCTTTGGTGAAGTGTTTGTCAAGATCTTTTGCCCTTTTAAAAAACTGGTGTTTTTTTTTTTTTCTTTCCTATCATTGAGTTGTTTTGTTTTGTTTTGAGACAGGGTCTTGCTCTGTCACCCAGGCTGGAGTACAGTGGCATGATTTTGGCTGACTGCAACCTCTGCCTCCCGGGTTTAAGAAATTCTTGTGCCTCAGCCTCCCAAGTTGCTGGGATTACAGGTGCACATCATCACACCTGACTAATTTTTTGTATTTTTATCAGAGATGGGGTTTCACCATGTTGGCCAGGCTGGTCTTGAACTCCTGGCCTCAAGAGATCCACCTGCTTCGGCCTCCCAAAGTGCTGGGATTATAGGCATGAGCCACCATGCCCAGCCACCATTGAGTTTTAAGAGTTCTTTGTATATTTTGGATTCAAGCCCTTTATCAGATGTGTGTTTTGCAATTTTTTTCTCCCCAGTCTGGGGTTCTTTCATTCTCTTAACAGTGTCTTTTGCAGAGCAGAAGTTTTAAACTGTAATGGAGTCTATCTTATCAATGTTTTTCCATGGATCATGTCTTGGGTCCTTGTGTGCTATACCTAAAATCTCTTTGCTAAACTCCTAGATTTTCTCATTCTAGAGGTTTTGTTTGACATTTAGGTCTATGATCCAGATTGAATTAACATTTTGTGAAGGGTGTAAGATGAGTGTCCTGATTATTTTGGGTTTTTTGTTTTTTGTTTTTTGTTTTGGCACGTGAATATCCAGTTGTTCCAGCTTCAGTTGTTGAAAAGACTCTTCTGTCCCCATTGAGTTGCTTTTGTGCTTTTGTCAAATATCAGTTGACTGTATTTGTGTGTTTCTGGGCTCTCTTTTCTCCTCCATTGCTCTGTTTGTCTATTCTGTCTCCAATACCATACTGTCTTGATTACTACAGCTTTATAGTAAGTCTTAAAGTTGGTTAACATCTATCCTCCAACTTTGTCCCTTTTTGCCAGTGGTTTTTTTGGTTTTTTTGGTTTTTTTTTGAGACGGAGTTTCACCCTTGTTGCCCAGGCTGGAGTACAGTGGTGCAATCTTGGCTCACTACAACCTCCGTCTCCTGGGTTCAAGCAATTCTTCTGCCTCAGCCTCCCAAGTAGCTGGGATTACAGGCATGCACCATCACATCTGACTAATTTTTGTATTTTTAGTAGAGACAGTGTTTCACCATGTTGGCAAGGCTGGTCTCGAACTCCTGACTTCAGGTGATCCACCCGCCTCAGTCTCACAAAGTGCTGGGATTATAGGTGTGAGCCACCACACCTGACCAGTGTTACTTTTAAAATCAGAAAAAAAGTTTTTTTAAAGTACACTTAAGCCTAACTTTATTTCTTCCCATTTCTTTAAATATAAAAAATGAAACAATTCCAAACAATCCTGAAATGTATAATGTATAATGTAAAAATGTAAAAAGTAAAGTAAAGAATGAAAGTCTCCTCCTTCACTCAGTTTCTCCACTTCTTTCCAGAGGGAGATTGGTCCATGTATTAGTTACCTATTATTGTCAAACAAATTACCCCAAAATTTAGTGGCATAAGATAACAAGAAACATTTGTTATCTCTGGCCTTTTCTGTGGGCCAGTAATTTGGGTGTGACTTGGTTGGCGGCCCTGGATCAGAGTCTCTGGTGAGGTTCAGTCAGATGTCCTCAGGGGTTGTGGTCATCTGAAGGCTTAATTGGGGCTGGAGCATCTCACTGGCAAGTTGGTATTGCTTCTTGTTAGGAGGCCTCAGTGGTCCATGTGGTCCTTTCCTGAGAGCTGTTTTAGTATCCTTAAGACAAGGGGTAACTGACTTCTCCCAGAGCAAACAATCAGAGAGAGAGAGAGACAGGGAGAGAGAGAGAGAGAGAACAGAGAAGATGAGAGCTTTTTTTTTTTTTTTTTTTTTTTTTTTAAAGAAGTTTTGTGGTTGTCACCTGGGCTGGAATGCAGTGGCGGGATCTCAGCTCACTGCAACTGCCACCTCCCAGGTTCAGGTGATTCTCCTGCCTCAGCCTCTGGAGTAGCTGGGATTATAGGCACTTGGCATCATGCCTGGGTAATTTATATATTTTTAGTAGAGACAGGGTATCACCATGTTGGCCAGGCTGGTCTTGAACTCCTGACCCAAAGTGATCCCCCTGCCTCTGTCTCCCAAAGTGCTGGGATTACAGGCTTGAGCCACCATGCCCGGCCTAATTTTCACCTTTTCAATGGAAAAGTGTCAAAGAATTTGAAGGCACATTTAAAAACCACAATAGTTAATTTTAAAATCAGGAAAATGTTATAAATACACAAGTCAAACTGTATTTTTCTCTTTATTTTTAATTTTAAAGACAAAATCAACGTCTTTGTTTCATAAAAATGAAAAAAATTCTGAAATTTTTCAAGTGAAAAGTGAAAGTTTCTTCCCTTCACTCCATTTTCCCACTCCTACTCCCAAGAGGGAGATCAGCACATAGCTTCCCAGTCTATTTTCTATACATGCACAAGCTCACATGCACACGTGCCTGTACCTAAACACACGCAGCACGGCTCTTTGTAAAACTATAATTAAAT